TGAGAAACTGTATGAATGTGGCTACCACATGCGATATAATAAGTGTTATGATAACATTCAAGTATATACAAAAAGAGGAATTGAATACAAGGTTCTGACCATTCAAAAATCGTCAAATTTGAAGTCAATCGGTTTCGAACTCTTGCGTTCGATCCATGGAACCAAGGCAGCGCGTTCCATTTTTCGCGGAAGTTCCCGAAAATTGTCGACGGGAAACGGTTACTTGGTGGATTTTTGGGCCGATTAAATGGAGGCCCCGATAAATCAAGCAACTTGTCTCTGGGCTAGTTTCTGTGCTGCTTCAAACGCCAAACGTATGAAATAATGATGCAAATGTGCTGATACTTGGTGGTATGTGTCAATACCATACAGATTGTCTTGTTCTAAATATTTCCTATTTTAATGCCCTGATATCGCTTAGGGCACCTTTAAATAATTGCTCTCTTCCCTGATGGAAGTTCAAACAAGAACGGGTTCACAAGTTCAGCCCCTCCCACTGCAACAGACAAGTTTGGATACAGAGAAACAACATTCCTCAGGTCTGCCTGGGGCTTTTGCCAACTCTAAATCTTTCTGGCATCACAATTATCCTGTGACTTTGACATGATTGTACTCTGAACTCACTCTGAAGTTTACTTTAAAAAGGAAGCAGCCTGGCCATGAAGTATTGCCACAAAATTCAGTCACTCTTTCTGAAGGCAATGTCTACCTTCAAAAGAAACAACAAAACTTTCCTATCCTATTCATGAAACCTATCGAAGGCCTCACCACATGTACCTTCTCCTAAATCAGAGCAGGTAATGATACATAGTCTACTAATGAGCTGCAGTAACCCTGCATCCATTAGCCCGACTTAGCCCATGTTTATATCTCCATGTGTGATTCCCATCAGTGTTGCAGTCAGGCATGTTGGTAACCATGAACTTCTCAGCCCAGTCCTGACCTCAGGATTCATGGAAAACCATTTCGTCATGCTCCTCAGCAGACTTATGGATTTCTCAGTCTGGATCAGGCTATGATAGTATGAGTTGTGGTGGTTGACGAGCTTCTTCAGGTACAACTACAAGACCACCAGCACAATGATCACAAGTACCTTTTCTTGGCAGACTGAGATGCAAAATGAGCCACCCACAGGATCAACTGATAGTACCAAGACCTGAATATCATGAATATCACCCAACAGCAGGGGGAAGCACTAAATCATAATGAAATTGTGATTAACTGTTCTATTGGTAATGGATCCGGACCAGTTTCAGTTACACCAGGAATGCTGTAGTCTCCACCTTATACACTGAACTAGGGCAGCACAGATGTAGGGAAATGGGAGGTCAGAGGTCAAGTCTCCCCTGGCAGAGTTTCAACCAAGAAATATCATGACCTCTACCAAATGAATGTTGAACTTGAAAAGTTTTTTTTTTCATCTCCAAAAACTAAAAGATTAACTTGAAAGCCACATCTGCCCAATTACTCGATAGCGGATGGTAAACCCCCTAAATGTAACAACCCCATCACAATTCTAACAATTCTACTCCTGCAGGAGTTAGCATTACGGTTGCCTAGCGATGGTTTGTTACCAACAAACCAGACAGGCTAGGCTTGGTTTGTTTTGTTTTGCTGAGGAGCCTCAGCAGCCAGGGAAGCTGATCTCTCTTGCCCTCAAGCCTCTCTGCAACTTTGTTCCCTCAGCTGGAACCTATTGGGCTGGACCCAAGCAGTTCCTCTAGAAGTGATAACTTCTAGGTCTGCCCAGAGACAAGAGCCATTGTTGACTGTACAGCTTGGTAGAGGGCCACACTAACTCAATTTGACTGATAATGTCCTCCAAGGTTCTTTTCTACAGGAAACAATAGGCGATAGACAGACTATCTTTTTAATACAAAAAATCTGCTCACTAAATCAGCAATTAGGTCACAAGATGTCTTGTCTTCTTTTGGATGACTATTGTGTGATAATATTTACCAACACAGATGAACTGACATGCTAAACACTGCATGCCTGGTTATCATCCACAAATTTAATACAGCCTAATCATAGTTATCTGTCAGCTTACCCCCACGTTGGGCTTGTTCAGGATGTGAGCCAGCTCCTCAGCATCCTGGCTTCTGGTGGTGGGCAACAGTGTCTTCACCTGTACAGGAACAAGAGGAAAACATTGTTAACCTCATACAGGAAAAATAAACCAAAGGATGGAGAACTGGTGAGTAGAAAAAGTGTATGTGCAAATAGTAAAAAAAAATTCATTACTGTGTATTTATATGAAACACTAACATAGTACTTAAGGTACCACATCACTTCAGTAAAAGACCCATTTCTTCACATTGCAGAGTCTCAACAAGTTGACGGTATACATTATATAGTGTCCTTGGTATTGCCCTTCCAAGACTCCCCCCTCCCCATGTCAGATGGCTATCACCCCATCTTATTGGAACCAGTAACCAGATATCCCACCTCCCTAATTGGATGCAAGCCTGTCTGTTTACAGTTTTATGCCATTCCATCAGAGCCTCATTTTATCACCAATCATCATTTCACTGACCAGTTTCCAACTTGTTCACGGGCAATTTCTCAAGGAAAAATCAAGGAGGGGGATTGGTCAGATGTATCCCTCAGGGTTTCCTTCAGCAGAAGTGGAGAGGTGCTGGTGGTAAGGTTGGACCCATCAGATATTCAAGTCCACATGATTTGGATACCACAGCTCCCAAGGGCACAGCAGAGGGGCAAAGGGGAGAGCCGCGACATGTGGCAGAACTATACCCCAAGTAGTTAAACTTCAAAAACAACTTCACGCTGGGCTTAAGTTTCCTCAAAATTTCTCCCAATACCTGTACAAAAGCAGCCTATCTTTAATTACCAGTTTGTCACTAGTAATTGTGCCCTTAGAAACCTTACAGATTCTTTCTGCAGGGTTCACTCCACCCTCTGGTTTTCATTTGGTGATGCCCTACTGACAGACAATCATATGTTCTTGTCAACAGAGGAATGCTGATACTTACCATGATAACATTTTTTCCAATGATAGGAGTAAACCTCCTATTTACAACTTTCTGCACCCCTCACTCATCTCTCAACTTCTCAAATTTCAGCACTACACCTCCATAAAAAAAGGACCTCTCAACATGAAGCCTTGGCAAAGAGCCCAAGCAATCTTCCAGTGAAACCACCTGGTGAGTGGGTTTCTAATAGGAAATACTCACAGATCAAGAGCACTTAGAGTTTACAAGACACAGTTCAATCTAATACATAGAGTAATACTATCATGTGAGGCATAGCTTTCAGAGGTAATGTCAACAGTAGACATGTCTCACAACTGCATGCAACATGTGAGGTAAAGTGTGGCAGCAGGTTCATGTCACAAACTGGGAAGGGCACTTCACTTTTCGATCTACAGCCTGACCTCAGCTTTCCTGTCTTTGAAGAATGTGTCTTGGGATTTCTCCCTCCTCCCTAGCCACTTTGATTCCCTCAATTAAGATATAGTCAACATTCAAAGGAAGGTTCTGTTTTGTCTCTAACCTATATTCCTCTGGTTTTGCAAGACTGTCAATGAAAGATGCAGAAATCTGGCAGTAAAACCTCCCTGTCAAGTCCTACCTCTTGTTGTGCCTCCCTGTCAACACCCACAGCTGCATCAAGCAACCATGGCTTGTCACAGATACATGGTCTTCTATCAACAACATTGGTAGAAACCTTGGATAAACTTGTCTTTTGGTTTTGCCTCCCTGACATCAGCCTTTCCTTTACAAACCAGGCTGCTATCACAGCTAAATAAATCAGGACAAGCACAACTTCCCTACCACAAGACAACAACAACCTGCCGACATACCACATATTACTTTAAGTTAAACTATCTACAACTCATCACAAAATGCAAGGCTATCATCGGACAGTTATCATCAGCACTATTTCAACAATCAGGAACAATTTACCCAAGAATCAGAAGCACTCGCTAGCTCTCTTATCTGCTCCACCAGGGCCAAATTTGGGACTACAAAATACCTTTCTTGCCACCATTCTAGTTCGCCCTTTGGTAACTTTCCTGTCTAACCCAATTCTTACCTCACATGCCTTGCCATTTGGAAGGTCCTGGTTTTTAGCATAACTGTCTATCAGCCATATGTCCTTTTGGAAAAGTGGCTCCTTGGCAGAGTACATCTCTACTGCATGCAGGAAGGTTCCTGTGCTAGTGATTAGGTGTCAGCTGAACCCTCCCAGCCGACCTCTGCAGGCTGGTGGGAGGGGAGATCATTCCATCAATCAGCCTGACCCACTTCTGGTCTGTTCCTCAGCCTAACCTGGTATGGGAGGGGGGCACTCCAGACAGATGTGTATCTGGCAGAATCTGCTGTATTAGGGGTCTTCCATGTTTGTCATTGCGGATTCTCCATTTTGACCCATTTTTACAGCCTTTACCACGTGTCAGCAGGACAACAGGTATACTTATGTCTACATGTACGCAGTCACAAATGTCAAGAATTACAAAGTTGACCTTGGGTCCTATCTTTGCATGACCCCCAGCTGTCGTTGGACAGTATTTTAATATGACAGCCATGACATGGTATGACAGCCAGTGGACATCTTCAATTTATGGAAGGGATTAAGATAATAACCAAGTTTGTCTCTATCTTCAACTTAGTGTCTGATGTCCTGTCATCAGAGACAGCCTTTAATTTTCTTCACATGCTCATGAAATAATTCTCATGTCACATAAATGAACTTCTCTCAAATTGCACCAATCCTACAGTCCATTATATTGTTCGCACTCCCAGCCAAACTATCCGACAAGAAAATTTATTTTTTGTATTCTGTGACACTTCGAACTACTGTACAATGTAAGATGCCTTGCATCAAATTCAAAAGACTCCTCTGTTCTACTTTATTATAAGTTCGGGGCATAGCATGATGTGTGTGCTTGTAATTTGCAGTTCAAAAGGAACCTGCTAGATGGCTTAACCTATATAGCAATGGCCAGGAATCTCCACATCCTTCACTGCCCAGACTAAGATGAACACATAGAAATTAAGAGGACTGATTAATTGATAGTTTTTACGTTACCCTGTTGACAAACAAACTTAAAAGCAAGAAAAGAATTCAACTTTGTAATAATTAGAAGATATCATGGAAGGGCAACCCTGAAAATAACAGTCATCACAGACAGAGACTGACAGTGCATGACAGGTGCCTTTTGTCATAAGACAGGGATATTTTTTCCCCATCCAGGTGTAACAAATCCATCCAATCAGAAAATGCAAGTTAAATATACCATTCTCATCTGAATTATAAGGGATGAACAAAAGCTCCTGCTCCTGAAAACAAAAGCAACAGATGCTTCTCCTCAGAATAGGGCAGAAGACTGGGACACATGCTCTTCCTTGCTGCTGTTTACTTCATTTGTACACAAACACCCAGTAAGGGTGTCACCTGTGTCCATCCTTCTCCACTAGACACATCAGCCTATGATAGGTCATCACTAGCCTTGTATCCAGCCTTGTTAGGGTTTGGTCTACTTCCCTATGGTCAAATACACAGGGTAGTGACTGTTGGAAAGCAGACCAAAGCTGTACAGGACTGGATACCAGGCTAGGTCATCCCTACACACCATGTTTGATGTGAATTATGAGCTTTACATTCCTTCCCAAGACAGCCTGATGAAGAATGACTGGTCTGCCATTGAAAACCCCACTGGAGTTAATAGTTTCCTTGACTTCTCTGCCGCAAATACATTACAGATATAAGCTGTTGAAAATCTTAATAACACATTTAAATTCCACCTCACCTTGATGATTAAATATATGAGACTTGGAGACTTTTCATTTGGGGGGAGGGGGAGTGAAATTGAAGGTTTGGTGATAGTCACCAGACTCCACTGTTATCAGACCAAAGTCAAGGCAAGGTCACAAACATGGAGGCCTGCTCATTCATTCAAGTACAGTACCAACATTCATTTCTCAAATGAGGAATGAAACTTCTTCAAACTCTCATTAGAAACCTCCTTGTACTCCCTGGGTATTTCTTTATTTTAGATTGATTGAGCTACATCAACAAGAACATAGCCACTCTATCATCATTTGATTATACTGAGCCAATCAGAAGATGAGTTTGTAGGTTGACCATACACTCTTATCTGTTCTGTTACAAACAAAAGTCTGCTGAGTTCAATACATTTACTCTAAATGACGCCAATTTGGATTAAATAGCTTATATAATTATCAGACCTAATACTTGACTGTGTAAAGTATTGAGCAGTGCATGTGTTTACAGAATTAATTAATGTGTGGGGATTGAACCTCTGGCCTTCTGGTACAGACACATGGTGTATGTATGTACAATATATGTATGTTGACATTTACAATGTATAGATTTTCTGACTTTCCAAACCATCACATTTCCATCCATTCTTGTCGTAAGATATTACATCTCACCCTTGTCCATTGAACACGCCTCTGTTGGTACAGGGCAGATCTCCAAAGACAGTGGAATACCAACTTAGAACAGAAAAGAAACTTCATGGTGTATGCAATGTACGTAGATGTACCCCAGGAGTAGGATGCATCAGAAGTTGCAGCTGTGGGATGTTTTTGCATCTCAACTGCAGGACATGGTACATGATGGTACATACCTCTTGAGAAACCTCGACTGCATTCGTGGCTACGGGGACCGGTGGTTCTGGCTTGTCGTAGACGTCTGACACCAGGTTGTGGATGCGAACAGCGGTCTGGAAGTCGCTGTCGTGGAACAGGTTCTTGAGGAATGCGACGTCGTCCGCCTCCCTGGAGTTGAGCTTGCCCTGGATGTGCCCCAGGGAGGAGAACAGCTCGTCCAGTTCTGTGGGAGGCAGAGGAGAAGTTGTGACCATCTTCATGTGGGACAAGATAAAGCCCAGGTGAATAAGAACAGTTAACACAATGTGTTTGCACTGACATTACCATGCATTGTCTATTGTCTATAGTCTTATCATGTTTGAGGGTTAAACCTGGAAGTTACTATGTATATTATTTGAATTCATGTACGTGTAAATACAGTCATGACTCATGTGCAAACACATGATACACATCATATACATGGAAATAGGACTGAATATTCCAACCAGCAGGTGCTGTGGTATCACACTGTGGTATGCAAGAATAAACAAAAAATGGAAAAAACGCTGTAAATACAATGGTACCTCCTAGGTAGAGATTACAAAAACATCAACACAAAAGGATTCAAGTTTTTTTCTAATGACCTACATTAGACCTAAATAACCTACAAAATATTGTTTCCCCTACCATTGTTCCAACTATGACCTTACCACCTATCTTAACTTGTCTTGAGATCCACAGTTTGTAGATTTGCCAACAGCAAAAGAAAAAGTGATGTCGTTTAAGGAAGGAAAAAACAACCAAGACCATGACATAATCCTTGCAGGTTGCAGGTAACCTTAGTTTATATACTTTCAACACCCATCTGGCCAACAGAAATATCTGGTACCACGTAACAAGTTGTGTTATCTTCTGCTAGGTTCTGGTAACCAAGCTAGCCTGGCTTGTATTTACCCAAATCGTGCCCTTTGACAACCCCAAGCTTTGGAGTCAAAAGGTTGCATCATGATGTTATGATTTAGGAGTATTTTGTAATTTAGCTACAAATTGCACACACACACAATTCCTTTTGGGTAAAACATAAACTGATAAACCAGCTATATAGTTCCAATACTTCAATTCACCTCAATTGCTCAAGCTTGCCATAGCTCATTACATGTAGTATATGTATCTTGTTTATTTGTCTAGTTGACAAACTTCTTTTACTTTTTTCTTGTGCTTATCAATAATGTGAGGTGCAGGTGCATACATCTCTGTTGTCTGTAGCTTAGACTATGTAAAAATGTCAACTGAACTTTATCTAAAAATATCTTAAGCATATTTGTCTTACCCAAGGTATATGCAGGACATTTTTCTAGAATGGACAATTCTATGACAAAAACTTGATGATGAAAATATTCAAATGGCAACATCATATGAAGGAAATTGTTGTCTATAACCCAAAAGTTGAACTGTCTTTTATTATCCTCCCTTCTGTTGACCAAACAGCCAAGAAATACTGTCTGTAAAGGATGTTTGTTGATGTTTATGTTCGTAGGTTACTGGCCAGACCATAGGAATGTTTGCCCTCACCAGTCCCTGGTAGACCCGGGACCGGTCGGCTGTATCACAGCATAAGGGGAGTGGAGGTACTGGTCACCTTCCTTCCTGGGTACCATCCTGGTTAGTTTACGGCCATTCCAACAGTCTGGTTGGTTGGTACTTTGTTGACATGTCCTCTATGGCCAAGCAAACTCAACTGTACGAATGGCACAATCCTCTGGGTGTGCCAAATCTGGGTGTGCCAAATGATGCAAATGTATTTTTAAAAATTCAGCTAATTTTAGGACAAAATGCTTTTACACATTACGGTAATGACTATGACATCCATCCTCATTTTGCATCAGAATGCATCACAGGAACCTTTTGGTCTGTGGGTTTTAGGCAATTTGTCACTGGGGAGGCAGAGTACTGTTGCAGATCATTGCACAAGTCAGTGCAAAGATGAAGCTTATTTCATCAAAGGGGTGGTCACTAAACTGCCACTGATGCTGTTAGAGTCATATCAGTGGTAGTAAAGTAGTGGAAAGTAAACTTTAGGGGGAAATACTGCAAAGTTACTCAAATGATCCTACTGGTTTTGTGGGGAGAGCACTTTGTATCAACATGAATATTTCTGGAGGACCAGGTTTCAGGATAAATTAGCTTTGTAAGATGATACAAACCATTAGGATAGAATCTCAGACTAATGTTTATGGTTATTTTAAGTACAAATGAGGGATAAATTAAAAACAAGAATACTGTGGAAATTTTAAAAGCAATACAAATGTTATACTTCTGCATTTATTTTACCTGAATCATTTCAAGTCTTCAAAAGCCTGTAAACTCTAGTTCAGCATTACTGCCTCCTGGTTCCCATCAATCGTCTAAGGGGCGTGGCAATTCCAGCAACAGTAACAACACAGCTACCTGGCTTTGTGGTGAGGCTACCTGGGTGGCACCTGGATTAAGCAGCCACAATACCTACATTTTGCATACATTTCACATTTGTGCATCTCATTTCCAGCATAAAAATTCTTGGGAAGACAAACATTGTTGTTGTTTTGACAATTCACAAGCTTGACTGAATATGAAAAGTTACAAAGGTCATTTCTACAAATGGCAGGAGACAGTACTGTATTTGAAAAGAAACTAGAAGGAAAAGTATTGAGTGCTCTCTTTAAAATATTTGATGTATACTTTTAACATGTGAGTGGGGGCAATAATGCATATACCTGTACCATATTAATACGAAATTTGTGAGCTTGAGCAAGTGCTTGATTTTCCCATTGGTTTATCAACAAGAGGGAACAATATTCATCAATTTCAAGAGAGCTCGATCTTTTCAAATCATATCTTTTCACTTACATTGTACATTCAGGTCGCCTCATAAAAAAGCACTTTCTACATGGCCTTTTATCGCTTTACCAGATGGAGCAGCTGTAACCTAAGGGATTAGGTTATAAACTGTAGGTGAGGGTAATCCTGTAATGACTTTCACAGGACCTGAACTTGGATTAAGGTCATGGATGGCAAAGGCTAGGTCTCCAGCACCTGACCCCTATTTGTCATCTCTTCCTGATTATCCCTTTCCCTGCAGCTAAAATTCTTTCCTGGACCTGGAACTTACCTATCCAGTATCCACCCACCTACATTAGTGTCATCAGAAACGATAGGTGCCTCTTTATCAGACAGGTTTAAACATATTCTTGGACCTAAATATTCAGGGCTAAGGTGAGACAAGTATTTGTCTTAAGTGTTTCCTTCAAATCCATAACTACTGACTTGTCGGTTTAGAGGCCCCATCAAAGTGTTCCTTGTATGAAGGATGTAGTCAGTTGTTGCCTTACAAACTAGGCCAGAGAAACTTTACCCAGATGCCCCGCTGTTGTAAATATTTACACTGCCAGTCTGCAATCCCCTTATAGTTCTCCTCTGAATTACGACGGATGGACATCATTATTAGTGGGATAAAATTCCAAAGTCTTTGAAGTTCCCGCAATTTCACTGGAAATGAAATATAGGAAAGGAAAGCAGGGGGTATGAACAGATGTGCCAACCTTTTAACGTTTGGTCTGAACAGAAATTTCAAACATGCCTTCTACATAAGAGGGACATACACTCGCATCTGGAAATGGTGTGGGCAACATTGCTGGCAACATTGCTTCCATACGTGGAGCATAGTTCCTATACCAACTTAACCAAGAAATGTTTTTCTATGTTAGCCAAAGGGTTTTGGGTCACAAGCGGCTGAAAGGCCAAGCCAACTGGTCAAAGGTCACTTGAATTCCCTGCCAAGTACAAAACAATGCCTGGTATACATCTTAAATCTATAATACCATCAGGACAAAAAAAAACTCAACGTCACCTTGCACTGGTAAATGAGCCATTCAAAGTCAACTATGTACTATTGAACATCTTACAATCGTACATGAACACACCCTTCATAGACGACGAAAATGAAAAGCATTTTTGCCTTTTGGCTGTTGTTTCTATTACAATGAGTTACATACTTGGGAATGAAAGCTCATTTGTGTTGGCAGGTAACGTGATCTAACTCTAAACTTCATATTGAATGCAACATATTGTAAACTTACTGAACTTTTAATCGTAAGGTCTTCTTATTCTATGATGGAAGAAGATATAGTATAAGCTAAACCAAACTAAAACTTTCCAGTCAGACTTCTCTCTGCAGTAAGATTTATGTTCCTCTGACAGGATAAGGAAGAAGGGCTATGATGGAGGAATTTCCACCCATCTGGATAGGCTAAGGGGAAATGGAGGTCATCTGGCAATTCTTCAAGGAACTCCAAGATCAGCAATCCCTGGGGCAAAAGCTCCCCCTCCCCCACCCCACACTCTTCTACAAAAGCTTGTTTTGCAGAAAAAAAAAGACATTTCAAAATTGATGGTCATCGTTTAACTTACCGACAGATTTCCTTGCTTCACTGCCTGGTTTCGGAGGCACTGATCCAGCATCATCATCCTCAAACAGCGGGTTATCCACCCCTTCCAGCTTCTTCTCCTCCAGCAGTGGTACTGGGTTCTCCTCCAGCTTCCTCATCCTGATGGAACCCTCTCTCACCAGCTGCTCTGCCTCCCGTGTTCGTCGCTCCTCCTCCTCCCTCCTCCTCCGCACCTCCTCCTGGTGCTGACGGAACCGTGCACTCCCCATCCCCGGCCCACCGCGCGGCACCGGAGAGTTACTCGCAGGGAGAGACGATGCTGCGATGGCAGCCCCTGCCAGATCCATGTTCGTGTTGTCCTGCGTCTCCTTTGGATCTGGGGGATGGATGGGGGTGGGTGGAGGCGTCTGGGGGGTGTTTATTGGGGTGCTTGCCTCTGATGAAGGGTGCGTGTATGCAGGGGGAGGGTCCTTCATCCCGCTTTGGGCGACAAAGTTCGGCGGGCAATCAACTGGCACTTCTCGAGGTACGTTATTACTGGGGACATGGTTCACCGTCACCATGGGTCCGTTCATTTGTGCGGTAGAGTCTGAGCTCATCGTGGAGTTATTGCTCGGGAGGGTTGTATCGCTACTCGACTCCTGGAACGGGTCTGTGTCCCCGTTCAAGTCTGTTTCGTCGTGGTGCAATGATGTGGGTCCGTTTGCCCTGGGCTCACCGTTACCGTTCACAATTGCACCGTTGGGCCCGTTCAGTTTCCCGTAGTCCAGCACAAGCTTCTGAGAGTCCTTCTTCACCGGACTGATGATCGGATCGTCCACAATGTCCTTTCTGTGCAAGAGTTCCACCGGGCTGCCTCCGTCGTGAAGCGTGGGATCCCCGTTCGTGAGTCCGTTTTTGGGAATGCTGGCAACGTAGACTGGGCTGTCCACAACACCGTTCATGTCCGACTTGGACTTGTCAGTCAGTTCGGGCATGTTGGTCATATCAATGGGCTTCACCCTGTTCCTCTCGGCTAGCCGCTCTAGCCGCTCTTTCGCCTGGTCCTCAACTGCAATCACATATGCCTGTTGTATGGAATTACTGGATTCTGTAAGATCTGGAAAGGAGAAAAAAAATTTTTTTAAATGGGTATTTCAAACACAAACTCCATATAGGATCTAAACATAAGCAAAAAAAAATACAGTTATACACAGTGCTTTTCGAAGCTAAAAGAAAGTAGTTTTAGTTCCCAATGTAAGAAAATGCCAAGAAACCTGAATGTCATGACAAATAGAAACTCTGTTAGATCTAAAAATGAACAGGAGCACGTAAAAATGGATCCCCAGTGTTTTTCACACATGAACTTAAAGGATAACTTTAATTCCATCCTAAGGAAAAACTAAAGGACCCTAATATCATATTTCGAATACATACTAGTATTAGACTAACAACAAAGAAATAACCTGCAAAGCTGTCACACAAAAACACTTTGACCAGCAAATAGTCTCATAAGTTAGGATTGTGGGTGGTACAGATGCCAGTTACTTATTCAAACATAACATTTGGTTTAAGTAAACTAACCTCACCACACAGTAGACACAAATGAACTATTTCCATTTGAGTTGAACTTGGACCAACACTTCAGCAGCCTTTTTCTGGGAGACCCAACACAAGGTCGTATGAAGTGTGACCAATGCTTCAAAAGAAAGGCAAACAACTCGTCCACCTGGTAATCAGTGGTGGTGACAAACATCACATGATCACACAATGTCTGATACACCTAGAAGATTCAAATTCATACTTTACCTCAATCTTTGTAAAGTAGTCAAGTAGAGACACAACAAACGAAAAGGACACAACAGGACTAGAAACGACACACTGCTACTGAGGACTTACAGAACTAAATCTTACCAATCTTACTCTGGACTTTTTTGTTTTAACAATTGCCCTACTGTGAAGAAACACCCCCAGGAACTGCTGACTGTGGTTATCACAACTGTCACGAATACAAAAGGTATGAACATAATCTGTCAGGTTGTCTACCTTTCATAACACTCTCGGTACACCACACCCGTCAAACACTATTGATTTAACTGCAGCGTTAGTCACCGAGTTATACATTAACCAAGATTCTTCAGCACAAAGCCTTCGCATACCGTCATCACCAACCACCTCCGCACATTCTTACCTCCAGTGTGCTACCTGTTCTGGGTAGTCCTTCGTAGAATTAGATTTACATTCTACGCCTAACTATAGTTACGATCCTAAACCCTGCAGACCGCCTGTACTATATCACTAGCGCAAAACGTTACATTGTTAAGTTCCAGCTAAAGTACGCCCTTGATAAAGGAAGAGGGTAGCTGATTGGCTGAGCTGGATGCCTGATTGGTTGAGCTGAATGCGTTGACCGTTTCCTGAGTTGTTATCAGTGAGTCACCCCCAGTGCTAGCGCTGTACAAGGTTTAAAGAGGGCTGGCTGCAACACAAGCTAATCGATAAACAAGTATGCAAGTATGTAAACAAGCCGGGATGCGCCAATCGGGTATTCAGCCTGGTTCTCACCATAATCAGGAGGGCCGTTATAAGTACACTATTGTGTACACGTTTGACAGCGTGGTCACATGACGCTCTGACCGGAGGAATGCCATCGCGTGCTGAATGAAGCAAACCTCACTCCACTGAGCAGGGCTAAAGAAATGGTAACAGAAACGATTTTCCCAGTTTGCAAAGACAACACCTTTTACACTTGCCCTAGAGTTTTGACTGAGTGTTTGTGGTGGCTCAGTACACTTACAAGGAGGACAATGCAAACAATTGTTGTTTACTCCCTACACATGTAGCAAAACATAGCGGACTTGCTCATTTCAGGTGGTCGCATATTCTATATGTTGAGATGGAATGCTTACATTGGGAATGCAGTAAATTATCACCAAATATCTTCCCTTTCCATCTGGAAATGTCCTTCCAGAATGGACTACCTCAAGACTATTTGCACACATTGCATAGATTTTTCTAGACATCTATGGGAGGGTGACGCAGAGTGGCTCTGACAAATGTACATCAATGCCTTTACTGTTTTTATGTCTAAAACAATGGGGTTGTTTATGGTGGATTTTTACTCCCCAAGAGTGGACTTCACTGCCCAAACTCTGCTACATAGCCTGTAAATTGTCAAATTCCAACAAAGAAAAGAGGAGAAAAGAAATGCCTGTACAGGTACATGAACAATTCCAGAACTGAAATGGTAGAATGGAATGCTACGCATCCTCACACAACAAACCTACTTTTCAAAACATGCAGCTGGCAATAAGTGCAAGGACAAATTCCAGTCAAGTGGAAGCACCATCCATGACTGGTCTATTGCTTCCCATGTAGATAGGAATAATAATGCCAACACACAACACAGCACCAATGCTGTGAAGTATTGGTGCAATGTTCTAAGGAAATTTCAAGTCAAACTCGCAAAGAAAAGGGTCACAAGCCACAAAGAGCTTCCTTACTGTCTTTGTCACAAGACCTGGAGGTACACATGTGGAAAACATTGCTAGCCCTTCAACCGAGTAATGAGCATTATCTGTTGGTAGGTCATTTACCTGAAATTTACAGCACCATCATCCCATTAACTTCAGCAGATATCCCTATCCCTGAACCTCTCTGGTAGCAATCTTACAGCTCACTGACAACCTTACTGGGACTCCAAGTCATGTAGAAGGCTATACAGTAACATAATTTCCAAATAAACATTATGAGAAATACTACTAAACAACGGTCACCTCAAAAGGCCACGGGATTGTTCTAAACAGACACACTAAGACCAGCATTTGTGCTATCTTTTTGTTTGTGTAAGCATTTTGCAGCTAGCTCACAGGCCCACCTTGTCAACAAAGGGCATTGACACCATAACGTTGCATGTGCACCATGACAGTCATGCTGAACCAGACTTGATAGCTGCTGAATAGCCACCCAGGATGCCTTCACCACCCCCTGCTCTTACTAAATGTACAAAAACAAACTCAAGTCATGCTGCTGCATGTAAAAGAAAAAAACATATCAAAGATCCATATTTACACCTGAGAGACAGTGATACCATCTCACCTTTAGGACTATAGGAGGCTGTTGTTGTTACTAACCTGTCCCCTCCCTTCCAGCCAGTACCCCTGTCCGAAACTCTGAAGATCCTGTGGCCTGAAAGCTGATATATCCCACGACCCCATTTGGGGAAAGCATTCCTAGCATAGCATGGGGCCAGGGCAGGCATTACAGACGTAGATTTATGCAGGAGGAGCCTTTCCAAAGACGAACTATTATTGGAATATTGATTGAAATGTTCCAAATGTTTTTGGCTTTTTCTGTTGTCAGTACAGGTTAAGGAATTCAGACAGGGAGAAAACAACTACAGGAAGCCCAAGGTCAGGGTCTAGTTCATGAAGGCCAGTCGAGCCAAACCCTGTCTTGTGACTAGAAATTTCTCCACAAATTTGGAATTCGGGGTCGCATAAAAGAGACAAAGATACAACATGTCTTCACGTATGTCGGCTAAATGCACGTCACGTGACATGTCAGGTGATCAAAATAAACATAAAAAACACCCTGTGTACTATGAATATGGCGCTCCTACTGAGACAGCTGTATTGTTCTCAGAAATTATTGCTACAAAGAGCAAGTTACAAGATAAAGACAAAACACTCCTGTCCTGGGTGAGTAATTTACAAAGGTATACAAAGAACGTAATTTACATAAAACCTTACAACTCGATGTACTCGGTACTCACTGCTGCAGCGATGACCAAAACTACCAAATTCTTTCCTTCCCATCAAATTGTCATCTTATGATAGCCTGCAAAAACATGGAGGACCACCTAATTACTAGTATCCCTTGATCTGATTTTACAGCTTTCCAAAGGCCAGAGTTGAATCTACCCAATACACAGACAATTCTCCAAAATCATTCGAGTGTCCAGACCTTGTACAAGCTCTCATATCGATGTGGCTCCCTACTTGCAACTGGACAAGCTGGTAAAAAAAAATCAAGTTGTGAATTGTATGAATGAATGAATGACCTGTGATGTAGCAGTCTGGCTTATGAAACACATTCAAATTTACCTACTTTGTGGCTCATTGACGATTCACCAAGCTTTTAATTAATATGATCATCTAGCCCCCCAGGGAATGGTCATGGGACTCATGCCAAGTCTAGCTGCAAGCCTGCAAATTGGGCTAATCCTTCCCAATGGGAGCAGATGAGCTCTTTAAATCCACCCTCTCTGGTAAAATCCATTCCTACATAAAACCTCTAGACTGTTCATCTGATACAAATTTGAATGTGTTTCTATCAGTCTCCATTGGGGAATCTGCATTGGAAGTGCAATTTTAAATTTAGACTTTCTACAGAAAAGATCACAAAAGTAAATAGGATAGAAATACGACAACAAGAACACAAATCACAAACTGTTGGTCCAACAATGAAAACATTCCCAACTGCCTTCCCCAAAAACATTCTTGGACCATCCCTAAATTCTGTTGATGGCATTTGTCAAGTATTGGTAATGTCAGCTGTCTCTTCCCATACATCATAGCAGGAATTCTGCAGCAACATCTGTACCACCCTAAAAATGTCAGTCTTGAAAAACAAAGCTTTAGATGAAAGATGTTGATTTTGATCCGTGTTTGACATCTGTCTGGCAATAGCCAATACTACACACTGACTGAGTTCATCAGTTACAAGGTGGTTTTAGGACAGCTTGAAGAAAGTTCATGTTCAACTTGTTCGGCACATTTTAATGACAAGCATTCTATTTTTAGGTCTAACCAAACTGATGAAAGCAATAATCTCTTTTGTTTATTTGTTTGTCTATTTATGTGGATCCATCAGTAATTCTAGCAGTTACACATTGTACAGTGTACATGTATAGTGTACAGTACTGCATTGTTGAGTTTGGTCTTCCTACATTACCAGTAAGTTCCAGTAAGTTATCAAATCTGTTGGCCAATGTTGTAGAAAACAGGTGCCCATTAGAACATGGTCCATTTAATTCCTAATCATGAAACAATAGCAAAATTAAAATGTCAGCCATTAGAATATGCTAAACCTTTGTAAGGAAACACTCAGGTTTTATTACCAGCCTGTAGTTTCTGGCTCAGTAATCAATACCTACCTACTAATTGTGATCAATACAAGCCCTGATAAATTGGACCTCACACTATAAACTTGTCCAGCTCAGTTCCCAGCCAAGCGTACCTAATGATGATGGATAAGGTCAGGGGGACCAGGTCTTCCTGGTGATTTATGTCAGGAACAACTGGAGCAAAAGGTCACAGGTTTTCATGGAGAACAAACAATAGGAAACAATTCCCTCCTTTTGATGCTACAATGAACTTCCATACACAAAATAGCTATAAGATTTGCTTTCCAAAAAGGCTGCAATCAACGATTAATATACAAAACAGACAGTTTTTGCAATTTTTGTTAACATGAGACCAATAATGTACCATTCAAACTATCTGCAAAACAGAAACCAGATTTGTCTGCTATCCTCATCATAAAAATTATTTTCCAATTCTTTCACATGCCAGATGATGCTAAATGTAGGACTTGTTTGTTTACATTTTAGAGATGTAGCTGACCAGAGATTATGGACAGGGGGTGTTGAAATCATATCTCACAGTATAAGCTCACAGTGGATCTTGTGCTAACATTCACTATTGTGTACGAATTTCACCTCTTTAAAATGAACTGCCAAAAAACCTCTGAGGAGAGAAAGCTGACATACCTCCTGTCCTTTCTACAAGTCTCTATCACAGTATCAGCCTGCAGCTGTTCCTAACAACATCTGAATAAACTGCTATCTAAACTGGGTCTCTCAGACAGTAAGTAAAGAATAAATACTGATGATACAGTGTCAGACAAAGTAACCAATAGACCTATCTTTCATCACCAATTGAGGGTTGACAAGTTCACAATTTTCTTTGCCTGCTACCAGTGGCTATCCGGTAGAAAAATACTTCTGTTATTCCAAATGTATTATACTAGTATACTAGTAAGTGAATTATTAAAAACATTTAGCCTCCTCGTAGACTGCAAGTGTCATTTATCCTGATAGATATATGAAAACTGTCATTATTCCTTCGTAACAAGGACAATATGCAAGCTTTTTCCATGTACTGCCACCAGAACTGGTTATCTCTGTACTGATATGCAGCATTAGCAACACCAGTTTCTGCTTATTCAGCACTTCTGCAGTCTTGCAGGTGTTGTTTTTATTCAAACCCACGCAAAATACCAACAAAAATCTCAATGGAGATAAGATATAGATCCTTACCAAGACTAACAATACCTACAGGAAGGAGCTTTCATCTCTTCACTGATAATAGACACTAAATAAATTCTAAACCAAGGCTGTATGGACCAGATGTGACCAAACATAACATTTAACCTTTGCCCAAGAGGTAATGAGAAATTGAATTAGAATCTAAAGATTGTATAAATAGTACACAAATGACAACACTGAATTCTCCTGCCTATTTTTTTAGTTCATATACAGTAGGTTTTCAAAGTGGATATTAAGAGTTCTACAGAAAATAAAGGATGCTATGTACAGCATTATATCTACATAGAATGACCAGGATAGTGAGTGAGAATGGCAGACGGATGCCAACAAGATACGAAGATTCAATATTGATCAAATTAGCAAAGATGCCTTCAAATACTATCTGACTATTCTGACTATAAGAAGGTATATGATGTCATGACAGTATTCTGCCTTTAAGTCTACAGCCTACATGAGTTCTTACCAGGTGGAAGTCCGTTGCGCCTCTTGACACGCAGACATATCGTTCTAGATTTTATGCACTGAAACAAAAAAAAAATACCTCATCAGTCATTCAGCATGTAGCAGACACAATTTTAACGAAAAAGCATCGTCATTTCCTTCTTTACAGGAAGAAAAAGAGAAAAGAAGGAAGATATGTATGTTCCAGGACAAAAGACATCCTGTCGAGTTAACCTTTATGGATATTTACAGACAAAACAGCAGTTAGGACTTCTTCCAGTTAAAATATGGATGTTTGCATTGTAACTAAAGATGACAAAAATAAAACATGGTCGTGAAGTTATTGTTTAATTTTCACTGTCTGTTTTTCCTAGTACAGGCCATCAAGGCTACAAATACAACTAGACACTGAGTATCCGTATTGCTTAATAACAACAGTGGAATAAACTGACATTTTAGAAATGCACTATGATCATATAGAACTTTCAGCCTCTGATTATATAGCATGTAAGAAACAAAGCTGCCTTTGAAAGGCCACCCATGGGAAAGTGAAATCCACACCATCATTGTGCAAAAAGCACCCAGTATTCCCAAATTTGTGGGATTTGTATAGACTAATGAAACTGCTCAGCGTTTCAAGGGAAAGTTTGTTCCACTGCTTTGACTTCCTACCCCGGATTAACGATGAAAGTAATTGTTTTCTGTGCCAGAGTTTAGTGGATCAAGAAAAGGGTGTAGCACTTTACCGCCTCAGGGAAAAGGGCTTACATGGTGCATGAAGGAACTATAATGCACCGGGATTGTGTGTAATATCTGTAGCCACTCTGGTGTTTCAGAGGGCCCAACCTAACATGCTACAACAGGTGACTTAGCAGGAAGGAAATCACGACTTCAGTATCAGGGGATTTGCCCAGGAGGCCAAACAGAGGATTGTAAATTGGCATTCAGTACATTCTCTTCATCTGGAAAACTAAAATTATCAATATACATGTGATTACAGTTGTTTCAAACCCCTTACCCATGTCTGGACCAATCAGAAGCGCCCTAGAAAAAACTATAACCCAACTGTAACCTAAGAAATGGCAGCAGTCTGTAGTTTTGGAGATCTCTTGTTTTACAGTATGCAAGATTTTCTTTCACCAAGAGGCAATATAACATAGTACATTTATGTTATATCTGCTACTGTTCCTTACTTGCAGGATTTTGACAGCTAAATTACAAGGATGGATATGACATTTGCAGCCTCCCACCTTACACATAACTTTTTGACCTTAGCGTGATGATCACACAGCCTAGAGGGAGTTGTAAGTCTGCCTAGATGTGAGGAAAGCCGCTAAGTTAGACTGATGGTTGTCTTGACACGAAGGGCTACAGCACAGACGCATTAGGGAGTCATCTCACGGCAATCAATAAATAATGAACCCAGACTGACACAGGTGGGCACACACGCTAATGAAATACAATTTTATCACATCCTTGGAATGATCTACCTACTAGCCTGACAGATAATTGATTACCACTTTTCTCCTGGAATTTTTGGTTCTTGTTACCAAGTCAAAGAGCCTTGTGTCAATATATATACAATGTGTGCCAAAAGCACATCTCAGTATCCACTGCTTCACTAAAAAATTCTGGAAAGCGAAGCAGACATATCAATAAGGGCCCTCCAAACAACATCCACCTGCACAGACTAAGTGTGGCACAGTCAAGTACAACCAGTTCAACGTCCTACTATTTGATAAATGGGTATCTATGTCAGAAGTTGCAAACATATGCAATAGAAAGCTCTTCTCAGAGAAGGAGCATGGTATTGAACTAAAAGGTGACAGCCAAACTATTTCCGTCTAACTAATCCGGGTTTAATTCATTACTGATGAAGTTGCACCCATGCATCTTACTTCTGCCTGGCATATTTGTTTACCTTGGACTTTGTACCTGATTTGATCTGGCTTGATCTGGAGTGTTTATTCTTACTTTTGTACAGTTCTTCAACTGCTCATTTCTTTGACATTACTTTGTATATATATACAACATGTAAAATCTACTTTTGTGAAAAGCTTGTACTTTTCCTGCTAATGATTTGCTGTAGGAAATTGGATATCTCCTGGTTGGTTTGATTTTATGTCACCTTACTTCTTAGTAGGTAGGATTTTGTGGGAAAACTTAAATCACTGAACAAGAACCTATGTGTTACTATGTTTTACTACTTTTTATACAGCAAAATTTCCATTGAAAACCAAGTGGACTTTGTGCTAGACCTCACTCAGTCCTGTTGTGTTGGAAAGACAGTTCTTGTCTTCTAACTTTGGTGGTTCCTTATCATCGTTGATATGCTGACATACTAGTACTCCTCTATGGTTCTTCACAAAACAACCTGATAAACCTTCTCACCTTGTGAATGTGGGCGATTATCTCCGAGTGTGTGGCATTCTCCAAAGACTCCCCGTTCACCTCAAGAATCTCGTCCCCGACTTCTAGATCTGCACGGTCAGCTGGGGAACCTGAAGAAACAAACAGGGCAAAGGTCACTCAGGGGTCAAAGGACACTGGCTGTTTTACTTCTCCATCAAAGTATGAAAATGAAAGCCACTTGTTTGCTTAGATTGCAATATGTAATACACATCTTATTGTTCTAGCTGTACTGTAACATCTCAACATTTACATAACTTACAACTTAATATATACATATAAAGTATTGGCATGCATGAATAAAAAATTAATACATTTATATACAGGAATAACCAACACTAAAAAGTCCTGAATCCATAGCCCTACCACCATTCAACATGATCAAATTTTCCCCACATCCCAGTGCTTGGCACTTCAACAACCTCTGACACTCTAAGTACGAACACTTAACAATGAAAGAAATATTCCAAAGGACCAGGCCTATAATTCCCAACTACTTAAAATATCTCTGTTCCAACAGGAGGAAAATCACAAAGCAAGTGCCCCCTGGAGGGGGATGAGGCATGGATAAGCCACTCGTTAATTTCTCAGTAGGACCACTTTCAAAGGAACAGTTGTAGCAACCTATTATTTGGCTGGAAGACCTTTTCAATCATTGTGTACATTGAACTTGGGAGTCGTGTAGCAGCTGAGGTCAGAGGCACTTTCTGTGGTCTTGGACATACCCCAAGAAAACACCACTACCCAGCTACCCAGTATCTTTCTGGCTTCTTTTTTGGAGAAAAAACAACATCCAAAAGTAGCAGATGTGCAAGAGACAACACCCAACCACCCACTGACCCTGACTATTCACCAAAACAGGGCAGTGAGCTACAAAAATTTCCTCCCACAACAATACAGCTATTTTACCTTCCACAACAACTCAGACCTGCCTGCTGTATCAGTATACAGTACATCACTACTCATCCAGCTTGTGAGACTGGAGATTTGGTAAAATGATTTTCCCGAGATAAACACTCACTGCCTCAAAACTAATCCCTGACATGCACCTGTTCCTGATGATAAAATACTACGGTAGTAGGAGCAGGAATGTAATCCAAACCTCATTTTGTGGTTATATTGCTAACATTTCAGCTTTTCTTATACTTCTGACTGTTTGATGGAGGGGGTATGAGAAATATGAGGTGATCAGTTAGTAAACGTTACTTTCTTCCCTCCCACCATCTGCTTGAATAAACCCAGCCTACAAGAGCCTGCTCAGCAGCCATGTTTACTGCTCCCTGCTGCTGTCCCATTAGCACCTGTTTGAGGAAAATTAGAAGGACCCTGTTACCAGATTATCACTTCCTGGGGTGCCAATTATTCTCATCTTGGAGGAAAATCAGGGAGTAAACAACCATTGTATTGAAATGTCACGAGAAAAGGTCAAGGCCTGAAAATATATTTTACAAAGTTATAGAAACATATCATTTAGAGGACAAGGAAAAAAGTATTGTGACACAATTTGGATTTTTTGGCATAAGCATAGCTTGAAAAGGCTCTCCATAGCATAAACTTAAGAGAACCTATGTTCACTTCAAGGGTGTTGACCTTGGAGTCATTTGCATGTAGGACACACCCCAAAGTAAACAAGGAGACATGTCCTGCTGCCTGGTCCTCTACAGTGATGTGTTTGGAGCTGGTCCACCCACCCACATTCCAACACTGATCTCTGCCCTCCCATGGCATCTAATCCACGATCAGAACTCCCTGCTATGCTCTGATTGTGTTTAGGTCTTGTCTAAGGGAAGATTTCTGACTCCAGTAGAGTAAGCAGTGATGATAGAGCACCATTAGTCCAGGAAGTATCTCTCACATGTTGCAGGAAGGAACAATTAGCAGGAATGGCAAGATTAGTCTTCGTTGATTAAGCTTTTCTTTTTATATCCTTTAATACAGAACCCTGATAAACACAGCCCTATATTTGGCCAATCTCTCCTTTACATTATTGACATATAAATACAAGGATATGGATCATTATGGCGAGAAGGCTAGTCAAGTTAGAATGATGATTCATAATTAATCTTAACTCCTCAGAACAGTGATGACAATTTCCAATTTAGAAAGAGTTGTATTTCCCCTCTTTACCATCAGTGTTGCCATCTTTCTCCCTTTTTCCAACAAAAACTAACCCCTTTGACACCCTCCATGTGGTCACCAATGACCTACTGACCACCTGTCAGACTGAAATAAGCTGACCTTTAACATCTGACCCACCAGACGATAATTCATGCTAACTGGCATCATGTATCAGAAAACACCTTAGGGGAACCTTGTGGGTACACAGTTGGCAGTTGTGCAAAATATCAAACAGATACCAGTTGGAAAGATCTTTCTAACATAATGATTCAGATTTCTTCCTTGCAATCCATGCCATGTCCACATTCACACATAAAAACAAAATTGAAAAACCCTTTCCAACACACAAAGATGGTCGAAACTAAAATTTCTTTGTAGCAGAGGTAATGAGAACTAATTTTCCAACAATGCATCATCCCAATGCCTAACATGAGAAAAGAACTTGCCAATATGAGAACAGGTGCTATTCTGCAAGGTCAGCCATGGTTGAATTAACTGCACAACATTCTCTACAAATTCATTTGAAATACCAAGGAACTAATCCCATGAAGAATTACAACTTATGGACAGATTACTTCCAGAAGCTCTGGGTGAACATTCAGGGTGAACAGAAACATACAATTTGCATTTCAACTGCTTCACTTCTTGTAACATCAGTAAAGTTGCACAGAAGTTCGAGAAACCTTCCTCCACATTTTTTGGTAATTGTCCCCATCAAAGATTCACTTTCATGTGGCTCTATTCAAATTACAAATGGTCTATCAATTATATTTTTTGTAGAAAACATCAACACTAGCTGGCAATTCTGTTCCGAAAACATGTTTTGTGTTAAGTCCCTTCAGCTTTGCCAAACTGGAATAATCAAATCCTTTCTAGCCAGTTGGATAAGAATACATGTTTGTGGCACGTTTAGACCTGTGTATAACGGTCTGACTTATGGCCATTATCACTGCACGACAAACTCAATATGACCTACTGACAGCTCTCCTGTCAAATATGATTTACACCTTATAACTATTCTAGTTCACAGCATTGAAGCTGTCCCTTTTATTAAAGAGTACTTACGTCATACTATTATTTAACAATCTGAAGCTGACCGTTCTTAACATCTACATAAATACATTGTAGTTGAAATTCAACAGAATACATGTAGGAGAATTATGGGGCTTGATTGATGTAACACAAGAGAACCCAAAAAATGTTTTTGTCCAAAACTTTTGTCCTCCTTGCATTGGATTAAAATTAACAGACAGAACTATAGGCTAGATGGGGCCGCAGAACCCAATGTGTACTTCATGGAAGGTGGGCATACACCATTGAAATGTGGACAAACCTTACAAAGATGGCAACAATAGATCTAAGTATGTTATGAACTCCCACTGGTCCTTCAGCATATAAACTAATCCAAGGGATCAATTTTATAATATCCTCTATTGGTGGAAGATCAGTACCAATTTGTTATAGAAAAGGAATGGAAATCTGTTTAATGACCCGTGACATACAGTTAGTTCAGACAGCTACATGTACACTGTAGACTATTGATGACAGGTCCAAATGTAAAAAAGAGCTATAGGATTTCTACGTATCAATGTACATGCAAGTTCAGTGCATATAATCTATCCTTATTACCACCAGCATGCAGGAGATTTGGGTTATCTGATGTTGAAAGTTAAATTACTGCAAGTTCATGCCTGTTTGCTAGTTGCAAGTACAAGTAATGAGTAGAAAGCCAGTTGTACGGCTTATTATACACAGAAATTATGAAAACAAGACGCTAGTTAATCTCTTAATGCTTGATTTGAGAGCTTACTTCTTTGCAACATTTGGAAGAGATGGTTATTGATGGTCCAGCTAAACTGGACTAAGATACCTTCCCTGTACTGTCTACCTGAACCAAGCTGATGGGCACACCTGACATCCTGCAGGTAAATAAGGTGTCTATCTCTGGTAATCTGTGGGAAATTCCTTGCTGGTCATGTGACTGGTACACTGTGTACCTTGGCTCATCTAAGTCAGCCAAAGGCCCACTAAAGTCACAATCATGCTGTTCTATTGCTGGTCTAGTTGGAGTCCTATTTGCTCTGACGTTACCAGTCTCTCTGACTCTATAACTGTGATACATTTATACCCATGAATATGGTACTACAAAAAGACTGGAAAAAGCACTTTGACAGTGCAAGGAGGTTTTTTAACATCCTTTGACAGTGATAGGCTCTGCCAACAGCATACTTTCCTGTACTGCATTTACAGTCAAACCTGTCTATAGTGGTCACTCAAGGGACTGGCCAAAATTGACCACTATGGCCAGGTGACCACTATAGAGAAATGGCGGTTAGTTGCCCCCCCCCCCCGAAGTGACACATGCTTTCAGTACCATTGAACAAAGATGTATTTATGTCTTTATTCTCAAACATATGAAAACATTCATTGCACAGGTAAGTCTCTTTTCAAATGTAACATTACATGTTATAATACAATTGTTGTTCTTTTGCTTTAGTTGTGGGCTTGAAAAAAAAATGATGTATCAAAACTGCATGCACTCGACATGATACTCAGTTGATCTACTGAAACCTTCCCACTAAAATATACAAAATCACTGGTTGCCATTTACTGTTCTTGTGTACGTGTAACATCGATGTTACCTACAGAAAACTTGAAAGCGAATCAAGCAACAAAGTTTCTGTCGACTCCAAGCCATGTTTCTTCTGACTGCAAACTCCTTTAAAAGTTTAATCTAAGCTCCTTCGACCGATAATTCCTTCTCACTCGCTGTCAGTTGAATCACATCCACCTTGTGGAATAAGTTCGACGTCTGTCTTTCCGCTTTTGCCATCGTTTCTCCGCAATCGCCACGTTACTAGTACCGTAAGTCGAAAAGTGGAAGAGAAATTATGACATCGCCATGTTTTTGTTCTTTGGTGAGTGCTTCGCATGACCGACATCGCCACAACGAATTCCAACCATGTAAACAAGA